GACAACTTGGAGCTGTTTTGCCACCGGCATGGGAAGGCGCACTCACTACGCGAACTGTCCGCCGTACAGTTCGCGTAGTTTGGTAGATAGTGGACTGCGAGCGCGTCGTGCGATACAGCGGATTCCAGTAACACCCGAGCACCGCAGCATACGTCACGAGTGGGTCGACGCTAGGCATTAGTAGGTTGCCGAGTAGAGGGACATTTTGTTTTCCGACGAATCAAGATTCGAATTGAGCACCGGTGATGCGCGAATTTTAGTTCGTCGGAGCCGTGGTGATCGTCTACTCGAGCAGTGTGTGCAAGAACGCCCTATCCACCGACAACCGAGCATTATGGTATGGGGTGCGATTACATATGGTGGACGTACACGTCTGCTGCGTGTATAGCAGACCATGACGGGTCAACGATACGTAGATGAGGTGCTACGGTCCGTTGTGCTTCCCTACGTTCGGCGGCTCCCAGGTCTGCTATACATGCACGACAACGTACGACAGCACATCGGGCGTGTTGTACAGACCTTTGTGGAAGAGCACCATATACGAATGCTTCCATGGCTAGCTCGGTTTCCGCATCTGAATCCGATCGAACATGTTTGGGACATGACTGGTCGGAGACTTCTACGTTATCCGGCTTCCTTGGCTAACGTTGAGGAGCTATGGAGGTGAGTTGAGGTGGCATGGTTGGCCATCCCTCTCGCTACAATACAGCGACTTATAGACTCCATGCCACGTCGTGTAGCGATGGTACGCGAAGCTCACGGGGGATACTCTCGCTATTGATGTTTCTCCTCCCAGCAGAGTTATGCCGCTCTCCATGTGAGAGTAAGTTACACTACTTTAGTACTACTTCCATACCAATTTACCATTTTATTGCGCTAGACACACGCGTTCAGATTATACAGGGTGTGCTCGTGAATTATTTCCAACAGTGTATAATCAATGGCCATGACCAAAGCCAACTTAGCTATTGCACTTGTTTTGTGATAATCAGTTTCCTTATAAATTTAATAAGATCTTATTTGATGGACAGACAACAATATGTTGAGTATAATGGTAATAGATCGTCTAGTGTAAAAATCAAACATGGTGTTCCTCATGGGTCTGTTCTTGGACTTCTCCTGTTTATTATATATATTAATGATCTGCCTTGCAACATTATTGAAGAGACATATTTATATGCTGATGATACATCCATCGTATTAAAGGACACTACAAAGGATAACTTGATGGCTAAATCGCAAGAAGCAATATTGTCCACTCAAGAATGGTTCAGTAATAATCTGCTCAAACTAAACAGTGAAAAAACAGAACATATAGTGTTGGAGACCACTCGACGTGGGAGGGAATCTAAAACTGTAAAATTTCTGGGTATGCATCTAGACAGCGGAATGACGCGGGAAGTGCATTTGAAGCACCTGAGGACTAGGCTCACTTCTGCTATCTTTACAATACGAAGACTAAAACAAGTAGCCACTCACCAGGCAGCCAGGTTGTCATACTTTGCATCTTTTCACTCGGTGGCGTCGTATGGTGTTCTTTTCTGGGGTAGGGCATCTGATTTCCTGAGGATCTTCCGACTACAGAAGAGGGCGTTGCGGGTACTGTGTGGGCTGCGAACAGACGAAAGTTGTAAGAACTACTTTAAATATGAGAATATACTTACCTTACCAAGCATATATGTATATACTTACGGTATTGCTGCATGTTCATGATAACAGAGACAGTTTTCCCTCCAATGGTGGTACCCATAGCTATCTGACAAGATCACGACATCAATACCAGGTACCGTACCACAGAATTGCATCAACGCAAAAGTATGTGGATTACTGGGGTCCAAAACTCTACAACGAACTACCACCACAGCTCACTGCGCTATCTAGGCAACTGTTTAAGAGGAAAATAAAACAATATTTGATGGAGAACGTTTTCTATTCGTGCGAGGAATATCTCACGATAGTTCAGGCTCACAATTTTAATGCGTAATGTGTAGTGTGTAATTGCCATGAAATGTATATTTGTATTATTGATATTTCATTTTATTTCGTATGTATTCAATAATGTTTTGTAGTAATGGTTTGACTTTTTGAGCGATTTAACCGCTATACATTCAAAATGGACAAAAATATTTCGGAATACATTCAAACAGGTGGCAAAAAGTGTAGACAGTTTAACAACGACCAATGCAACGTAAGCAAATCTTACATTATTGATTACAAATGTCAGTCAAGGAAAACTTAAACGAGGCGCGATAAATGCCGCCGATAAATTCATCCATTAAATGGATGAAAGCGAAATTGTTTACAACTTAATGCCCAACCGTACCTTACATTTTAAAGGAGAACGTTGTCACGGAGGTGCAAAAAGTAAACAACGGGTGACTGTGGTTTTATGCTGTAATTCGGATGGATCTGAAAAGTACAAGGCGTGGGTAATAGGAAAATCGCGTAACCCACGATGCTTTAAAAATGTTGATAAATCACATTTACCGTGTGATTATACTCATCATGTGTCATCGTGGATAGATGCTCAAGCGTTTCGAGAATGGCTACTCAAACTAGATCAGAAGATGATTGCCCAACATCGTCATATTCTTTTAACTTTAGACAACTGTGCTGCACATAAAACTGAAAACCTAAACTTATCTAATATCACGGTGTATTTCTTTCCGTCCAACACAACAAGCAAATTCTGCAAATTTTTTGTTTTGCCATTTCTACAGTCGACGAACCCTTCAATTTCATCAGTAGCCCTATTATACGTTAACGTAACATCCAATGATATTTCATCAAATAACAGGCAACAAACACGATCTTGTGGTTTTATTTTATCCACTGCTATTTTAAGTGTATCCAAAATTCGGGAATTGATTCCTGTATTGAAAGGCACTTTATTTAAAAAACATATTAATGTCTTTCTGGAAGGCAGTGCAAATGTTTTTTGTAGTAAACGGTAACCTCGAGGACTTTGTTTAAGCAAGGATAATGTCGCTTATCCCAAACCTCCAAACGGCCTCTGCTTTTTTTCTTCTGCATTGCTAACTGCAATTTTATAAAATTGAAAGTTGGAGTATTGATCAAATCTTTTATAAAGTCATTAAAGCAATTTTTGCGTCTCCAACAAACGTTTCTTGCACGTAACATTTTCTTTGTCAAGTTTACGAGTAATTTCCAAAAGTCTCTTTGCTACCGTATACTTTTTTTTTTTGCTTTTGACAGCAAAAAAAAGTTTTGGTAGATAATTTTAAAAATAACCATATGCCGTCATTGCAATCAGTAAAGTAAGGGTCATATCAATATTTAGTCATCTTTTAAATTTACTTTCAATAGGTGCTTTAACTGATGCAATATTGCAAATAAAGTCCTCTTGACTCGATGTTATTAAAATATTAATGGGTAAATTTAATGTAGGAAATGCTCTGGCTGATGAGCTTCATTTCGGTGTCAAAATGAACATCACATACAAAAGATGTGTTCCTCTTCGGCATTGAAATATCTTTTCGCGGAATAGATTCAGTCCATAAAATAAAAAGCTTAAACATACATATAACAATATAACATTATTATGACTATATCATCCTTTTGTACATAGAAAATACTATTTATATTAATAATTATGTATGTATTAATTATTACGCACCTCTTCATCTTTGGGTAAACGGTACATAATAGCTTCCTTGCTAGTGTTGTAACACCCTGGAACTGCACACTTAAAAACCATGTTTCTACTATATAAACTAACTACTAGTTATTCAGTAAGTACTACATTTAGAGTAATTAAATGACTAGTTCATTAAGAAAGTAAGTACAATTGTTACAACTTACCTCAAAAAGGTGATAAAAGTATCCAAAAATACTGTACTAAAGAACTGATTATAACTTCAATCGAAATAATAAATTAAAATTAACCCTTAACTGGTCTAGTGGGGTACAGAGAGACCCCAGACAGTACAAATTTGTTTATAATTTCCTCTCTGTAACACATGGCGGTGTGAATTTCTATATTCCTCAGTCAAATTGCAATTTTTCTGTTGGTGTATGTGAATTGTACAAAAAAGTTATAAAAAAATAAATAGTTTTCGGAGACCTTACCAGACCATTGACGTAAGTTAATTTTCGCACATTATATCAAGTTTTGTTTACAGAAATATATAAAATGTGAGGTTATGTACACACATTTTTTACAGAATGGCTTCAACTTCAAAGCGGTTCTTGACAGACACAGAGTTGGAGAGCATTTTAGAAGATCATAAAGCGATGCTGATGATACATCTAGACAAAGTGATCATGATTCAACATCAGAAGCTTCAATACAAAGTTCAGAATCGGATGACGAAGATAATGGTACTACATCAGATGATAAATTTTATTTCGGAAAGAAACGGTGCTACAAGTGGTCAAAAGAGTGTCCCAAACCAACTCGAACACGTAAGCACAATTTAGTCATCCGTCTTCCAGGCACTAAAAATGAAGCGAGGGATGTTGAGCGGTCTGATATATTGTCTGCTTGGCAGTTACTTATTCCTGAAGATTTTTTGCAACTAATTTTGGTAAACACAAATAATAAAATAAGTGAGATGCAGCACCACTATAAAGCACCTCAACCTGCATTTGTAAGTCTCCTTGATATGATGGAGTTGAGAGCTTTTATTGGTCTGCTTTATCTGTCTGGTATAATGAAATCAAACCATGAAAATGTGGAAGGACTTTTTGCGAATGATGGTACCGGACGCGATGTTTTTCGGGCAACAATGAGCCTTAAAAGGTTTTTGTTTATTCTGACATGTTTGCGTTTTGATTGTGCTGCCACAAGGGAAGCTAGGAAAGCAAATGACAAACTTGCAGCAATTCGAGAATTATGGGACATCTTCGTAGCCAATTGTCAGAAGTATTATACACCAAGCCAAAATGTTACCATAGACGAAATGCTAGTTCCATTTCGTGGTAGGTGTAGTTTTCGGATGTACATGCCAAAAAAGCAGGCCAAGTACGGATTGAAAATAATGTGTCTTTGCGATTCTCGCAGTCTTTACTTATGTAATGCCTTTGTTTACACAGGCAAAGAGACAACAAATGATAAAACTTTATCAATTCCAACAAAAGATGTTCTCAAACTTATTACACCGATTCAAGGGACTAATAGAAACATTACGGTTGACAACTGGTTCATGTCACTTGAGCTATGTGAAGAAATGAAAAAGAAAAACTTGACCGTTTTAGGCACTATGAAGCAAAATAAGCCACAAATTCCGGCAGAGTTCAAGCCACAGAGTAAACGTCTTGTTCATTCAACTTTATTTGGACACAATCAAGAAAAGACTCTTTGTTCATACGTACCTCGCAAAAATCGTGCGGTCGTGCTTCTTTCAACAATGCACCAAGATCAAAAGATCAACAAAGAAAATAAAAAGCCAGATATAATTACAGATTACAACAACACAAAGGCAGGTGTAGATGCATTAGATCAGCTATGTGCTAACTACTCGGTTTCGCGTCGAACTCGCAGATGGCCAATGATTATTTTTTACGCCATATTGAACATAGCAGGCGTCAACGCTGCAGTTATTCTACACTGTAATACAAAAATTGACCCGGTTGATCAACTAATAAGAAGACAATTGCTGAAAAAACTTGGAATGGCTTTGGTAAAGCCTCACATTGAACGTCGTGATGTTCGACCTCTTTCACGGGAATTGAGAGAAATTGTAGTACAACATGGTGGGACACCACTTTCTTCGACCCCTTCCGATACAGAACCGACAAGGAAATCAAGATGCTATGTTTGCCCACGACAGGCAGACAAAAAGACAAAAATGGTGTGCGAAAAATGCAAAAAGCATATCTGCCTCAGCCACCGCTATTCAGTTTGCCAAAATTGTTTATAAATGTATTTAATTATGTCAAAAAAAGTGCAGTTTAAAATTTTGTAAAATAAAATTTTTGTATTTTGTGTCCTCTGTTTCAATAAGCATGTTAAACTTTTGGGGTTCTCATGGACCCCACTAGACCCTTAATGTATGTTAATTTTACCGGACCACTTAAGGGTTAAATTAATTGTTTCACTTTTAAATATATGTTGTGGAATAAGAACAATAACTCCACTACACTTATTATAAATTACTCTCTCTGTCCCATAATAAGTGACAGATATGGTGAAAATTTAAGTCCCAAAATAAGTGTCCGTTTTAAAATAAAAAAATCTATATAATTTTTCTTCAAGATTTTTTAATATCAAACGTCCAAAATTCTTAAGAAATATATTTATAACTTTACAAAACTGTGTAAGAATAATAATAACACTACTTAATTACTAATTACTGCTACTAATCTTTGCCTGAGTAGCTTCGACGAGCTCTATACCGTATTTAAGATAAACTCTCCTCGTCTAAGCAACTTATTCTTGCCTAAGTGAGTCAACCTATAATTATTGCCGCCATTTGCTCTCATTGTCTCTATCATACACTGTTGATGTGTTAAGAAGACCTTGTTTAATGTTTCATGACTTAGATCGTTAAAAGCCTTGGTGACTGAATCGATGAACTGATCGATGTTTGAAGCAGCGTCTTATAGCATTAAAAAACCGAGGTCCAGAACATTGGTATCCGGACTATTCGGGGGTTGACACATTAGGGTTATTGAAGCATTAGTTAATTTTAAGACGCTAACAGCTTCATTGAAGTCTTTATCATTTTTGTCAAAATGTGGTTTGGCATTGTCTTGTTGGGTGTAAATGGGCGTATGAGTATTAGATCTAGGCCATTTAGCTTTAATCGCCGGTAGAAGTTTATTCACCATCATATTTCTATACTCCGGTTTGGTTATAGATTCGATAACTTTTGTTTCCACCGTCCAGGCTGGACGATTTTTACTTGTACGTTTGGCAGGTTGTTGAGTTACAAATGGCCAAATGCCTAGTTTTCCATTAAACCATTGATTACGGTAGTTATCCCATCTTGGACGGGCAACAGCGGCTAAAAACATGACCTTCGTAATAAATCTCTTACTTTTACATGTTTCATGAGGCTCCCTCTCATCATGAGCGAGGTAGTATTTATTAGAGGTCTTTTTTAAATAAAACCATTTCTCGTCAACATGAATGTAGTTTTTCATATCCTTAAAAAGAGGCCAAGCAGTATTCCAAACGTTGGATTTTGTTACGGTCAGTAAGAAATGATTTTACTGCGCTTGAATGAGATTTTATCAGCCCAGATTGTGAATTGTGCTTTTTGAAATTCCAATGGTATATTATGCAAGTGATCGGATATTTCTGCGGCGATGAATCGGTATCTCTTTTATTTTTTCTATATCTACGATTTTTCGTTTCCTGCTGACTCTTCCAGATTTTCGAGAATTTACATTCGCGCTTACCGCTCCTTCACGTAAAGTTTCTTGTCCTCGATGCCAAATTCGACTTATAGTCTTCTCCGATACAGAATACCGTGCAGCTGCATCCTTTATCGATCCATGTTTAAGTTTACCATTTACAAATTTACACTTACTTCTAGCAAATAATGGTACACACTTTGACGCGCTTCCTGGTTTAGGTTAGGCCTTTTTCGTTGAGGGACAACTTCAAAAACTCCTCGACGTTCCATTATGTGACCACTCCGGTACTTTTAGAAATAACAAGACGACGTATGACTTATAAATCACTACTCAAAAGTTAAGTAGACGTGTTTAAATTTTTTGACAACATTCATGTGTCAGTTTTGACTTAAGTCACTTGATGGAATACAAGATTGCAACTGACATTACGAAATAACGTTAAGTTTCGGGAAATGCCAAAACCGGACACTTATTAATTATATATGGGACAGAAGGAGTATTAAACAACAACAAATCACTCTTTCTTCAAATCGCTAGCACAATACAGCGCAATCAGAAATATTTGAATATTACTATGTCCTATGTCAAACCTTGCCAAACAAATTCAACTTACAACTCTAACCTGTGTTTTCCCGAAACAGAGGTTCCTGTAACAGAACGGTCAAAATCAAGGTTTATATATTAAAGGTTGTCTAAGTTCCTATTGTCACCAAGTACGAATTGAGCGCCGTTCGATCTGCTTGGCCATTGGTCGTCAACACTACCTACGGATCGGACGGTCGCCAACCAACCACAACGCCCGGTTGATAGGGTTTTACCCAAGGGCGCCTATATAAGGCGGCCGGGTTTCCATCAGCGGTCAATTCCAACCGAACTCCGAAGCGACAACAACAGCGACAACGATAACAGCGACAACAACAGCGACAACGATAACAGCGACAACAAGCCAGCACTTCAACCGCCAATTCGAAGACGACCCCTTTCGTCTTAAAAAAACCTTTGAGGGTTTTTTTTTGTACATATTTTGTAAATAAATTATTTCGTTTTATTCAACAACTGTTGTTTCTTCTTCGGCGCAATCCATCCCCCGTAACACTATGGTGCAATACTTTGATTTTAGATTGTGGGCGAGGGGCAAGAGCAGGAGTGTTTTGTGACGTAAGCGATCACGGATTGCGCACGCAACCTCATGGCCATGTGGTGTTCTATGCCTTTGTTTAATTTGAATTGCTTGGCGGTATTATTTTCCACATGTGACGTAATGCGCAGTATGGTTGCGTACGAACCTAGACAACCTCTTATATATAAACCTTGGTTCTATGAACAACATAACACGATGCGAGGTTTAAATATTTTATATAGACTGTACCACAGTGTCGGCACGTATAGGCTATCTTTTACTCTGACTGTATCGAACCAGTGACGTCAATCTGCGGGGAAATAATCGATACTACAGAGGCATAGGGAATTAGGTAACCTTATGTTCTACAGACCTTGATTGATGTGGATTGATGCATGACTAACACACAAGGTTCATGATTGCCAACTTGGTGTCTTACAAAAACCCTATTTCAACAGTATTAATTTATTAAATTTATATGTACAAATCAAAATCAATTCTATTTGAAGAATAAAAGTTTCCACTTTCACCACATTTTCTTACAAAAACCCCCGTTTTAAAGCTTCCATCCTCGCTCCATTTCAACATTTGTTCACTAGTAAATGGGCCTTCAATTTCCTCCTTATTTTGATCGCGTTTTAACTCCCACATTAAAACTTTTTGCACATTTTCTTCCTCATCATCAACTTTCTGTTCATCCAACCCCAATTTTTCTTTCTCTTTATCATCAAAATTATCCGAATACATATCCAATTCAGGTTCATTCTTCTTCGATTTATTCTTTTTCTCATATTTTTGAATTTTCCCCGAAATAAACTCATAAGTTTCTTGATAAACGTCCATATTTCCCAAGTTATTTAATATTTTATTTGATAATTCAGTTAACTCGGTTACTTCTTTGTTTGTGTTTAAAGTCCCAGCTTTTTTACGTTTTAATCGTTCAATGCTGCTTAATTTTTCTGTTGGGCCTCCAAGTCTCCTTAAAGCTTTTGAAATAGTTTCTGTGGGTTTTAAATATGTTAGAATTAACTTGTATGTTTTGATTTCATCAAAATGTTCGTTCTCTTCATTCTCAGAGTCACTTTCTTCCCCTAATCCTTTCGGTTCTGATGATTCAATGTTGGCGTTTCGTTTAATTTGTTGCCAATCGATGTTGTCCAACCAATTATCACGAACTTCTTTCTCATTTTTCCAAATGAAGTGACCGTCTTTGTCGAAATGGCCCAATTCCATCTCTTCTTGCATGTTAAAAGCTGTCATTCGTTGTTCACCATCTTCTGTTATTGTTCCATCTTCTTCACCTTTATAATAATTGTATTTATATTAATTAGTTTGCGATTAATCAATATTTACCTTCAATTTCGTTTTCATCAAGAACGTTATCATCATCTTGAAAATCTTCCTCGTCGGAGTCAAGGGTGTGTTTTTTTCCATAAACGGGGCGTTTTTGGTATTTTCTAGCAACGTTTACCGTCTCGAACGGCTCCGATGCGTCGAATTTCCTTTTAGACATCGCGTTAAAGTGAAATAGTTCTAGGAAATTGTATCTGATTAAAAGTGACAAGTAAACTCTTAAAAGTTAGGTTATGTTTATGATTTATTATGTTATTTCTAAAATTAGATTTTTTAGGAAACAATTAATTAAAATTAATTATTATTTGTTTATTGATACATGTTTAATTAATATTTAAAACGAAAAAAGTTAAAATTTGTTATAAAAAAATTAATTAAATTAAAAATAAAATCGGCCGATAGATGGCGGAAATTACTTACACAAGAAAAATCTCTTTTTCGAGATTTTTAAACTTTATTTTATTGATTTTTCTTTTTCGTTGGGTTAAATCGACTTTTTCCTTTTTTTTTATAAACTAATTATAATTAAATAAAATATTTTTTTTAATAAAAACGATGGCGCCATCTTTCAGATTGCAATCAACACCCAAAAACAATCGCGAATCGTATCAAAATTTTGCAACCGTCCCCGTGTTCCCGCTTTTCCAGCAATTTTCTTCAGGATAAACCGGGATAAAACAGGTAAAATTGTTTCTTTTGACCTATATTAGCTATAATAAAGCTAAAAAATTAGCGAGGTAAGACGCCAGACAAATTTTTTTTTTATGTTAATTATTACTTATTTTACCGTTATAAACAGTAATATTACTAAATAATTAAACATTTAAAGTCGCTCTTTTACTTCTTAGAGCCTCTAAAAGTTTATTTAAATTTAAAGCGTCTTAAAATTAAACAAAAACAACTTTGTCAATTCTTTCATAGATGGCGCTACCAACAAAATAATTTTTTTTTGACATAAAAATCCTTTGACGTTTGAAATGTCAAATTAAAATTGAAAATTTAATTTGTTACTTATGGGTTAAAATGGGGCGAATAAAGCCGTCTGATTTCGTTAGAAAAAACTTTTTATTGGTTGGAATAATCTCGTCGATATTTTTGGCGGGAATTTACCCAAAATTAGGTAGTAAAAACGGTGAGGTTATGATTTTGAGGTTATGTAAATACATTAATGTTTTTTTTTTGTATTTTAGGCCCCCTCAAGCCTGAATTTACCGTTAAATATCTCGCCGTAACCTTAATTTTTCTCTTAAGCGGACTATCAATTAAAACCGAAAACTTATTCGATGCCTTAAAACAAACTAGAATTCACTCATTCATACAGATATTTACGTTCGTTTTTATCCCTTGTTTCATGCAAATTTTTATATGGGGGGTGAAGTTTTTTAACGTTGATGATTGGATTTTAAAGGGGTTAATTTTTATTAATTAAATTTTTTAATTTTAATCAAATTAATTGATTTAATTTGTTTTTAGATTGATTACTGTGGGTTGTATGCCCCCTCCAGTTTCTAGTGCTGTTATTTTAACAAGAGCTGCACAAGGTAATGAAGCAGCAGCTATTTTTAATTCAGTTTTGGGGAGTTTCTTGGGTGTTGTTATAACACCTTTTATTTTATTACTTGTGGTAATAAGAATTGGTTGTTTTTAAAACAATTTAGTGAAATCATTTTTTATTTTTAGTTGGGTTATACAGCCATTGTACCCACATTTGGAACAATTTTAGAGTTGGTGATCACAGTTTTATTCCCAATTATAATCGGGCAGTGTATTCGAAAATTTACGAATTTTAGGGGTTATAATTTGCCCTTGAATTCAATTGGGCAAGGTGCTTTATTATTTATTGTTTATTGCACGTTTTGCGATACATTTTCAACTCCAGAGTTAGGTTTATCAGCTTCTGATGTTCTTATTACGGTTCTTTTAGGTACGAAATTCTTTTAATTAACCCTTAAGTAGTGACGTGCGGTCATAGTGACCGCTTCGTTGTTTTACATAACCCGAATTGGCGATATCACTCCAAATCTGACGCCATATTATAGCGAGTTGCCAAGGGATGCTGCTATTGGTGGTAAAAATTTTGCGGGATACCGCCAGTGTCACTTTTGGTTACTTTGTGTGGTTTTGTCATATATATACTATCTTCTATATCGCTGACTAAGGCAGCAAAAGAGTGTAAACACTAGAGTGCAGATATATATATATCTGTCTTTGTCGTACCCCCGTCGACTCAAGAGACATGTGTGAACACGTGATGAGTACGCTTTTATCTTATTGGACGGTGAATTAAAAATTAATAGCAGCTGATGACCTTGATGTTTATAAATCAACAAATAATCGTCTTTTATTTTGTTACCCTTTTGTAATCTAATCAAAAATAATTGGTGTAACCCACAAGTCTGGTAAGTACATGGCGCAAACATAAACAAACAAGCAGCTAATTATTAATAATGAAAATTTTAAGATAGAATGTTATGTACTTTAAATAGTAAGTATATATTTTATATCTTTCATTAATGTAACAACTTCTTTAAATAGCGTGAGCCCACAAATTATGTTCAAAATTACATATTTTTTTTAATGAACAATCTACATAAAGTTGATATTTAATGCAATATTTAACCTCAATTTCACACAAAAGTACATATACTCTAATTTATTTGATGCATCAGTGATAATTTATAGTTAAAGTAAACCATCTATAATAATAATTGCATTTTAAAGCTGCATAAAATACGCGCGAAACACTTCACACTCTTTAAAATTTACGATTCGCGCTAGCGCTTTCACGACACCGGGGTACGACAAAGACAAAACATATATCATTCCGTCTTCTTTTGATGGAAACGCTCGCCACTCATTGCTTAGATAGGGAGTCAGCGATATAGAAGATAGTATATATATGGGTTTTGTATTCTGGTAACTCATAATAAGATGGCGGATTTTAAATCGAGGTCACAAAACGAGGTGCCGCCAACATCAAACGAATCGACGTCAGTGTTATTTCCAACGATCTGACAACATCGTTCGCTTCGCTTCTCTTGAGAGACGCAAAGTGGGACCAAATCTCCAAAACGTGGCCAAAACCCCAAAATGACGTTTAATTCAAACAAAACTCATCACTCGGGGGTTTTTGAGGTCGCTGATTATGAATTTGAACTTAAAAATTGTCCAAATAAAATGGCGGATCCAATATAGCAACGAGAGGCATGAAAGCTCGTCATAATTTATGAATAGAAGCATTATATATAGAGTTGGATATCAATAATTACAACAATTAACATACTGAAAACGTCATTTGATTATTAAACTAAATAACAGAATATCCGTCGAAAATATATCGAAGAATTGTAATAATAATAATAATAAGATCCGCTATTGAAGGAAATCGGTATCCGAATCAGTATCGCTCTCGAAGTTCTCAGAGTCAGAATCCACATCAGAGTTTTCCATGTTCAGTCGTGGTGAGATGCCTCCTTTGACAAACATTTGATTTTCTTCTTTGGCAGTTTTCTGATGCTGGAAATGTATGGATCGGAAGTTACCAGAAGCCGCTTGAAAACGTCTTCCATTGTTTTTACTCGCGAACACTTCCTGGAAAAGTCTTCGCGATATCTTTTAATATCCTTGTTCCTGGCTTCTTGTGCTTCTTCGGATAATTGACCGATTGGGAGCAATGCGCGAGCTACGATTTGTGGACTGTGAATCAACAACTTATGCACCGAAGTAGGCATATAATACCATGGATACAGCTCAACGAATTTCCTCGCAGTTGTCAGCGTATAATTATGGAACTTATCAGTATTGATTTCATGTCCACTCGTAGTGACTTGTAAGATGACGTGAAACCGTTCTATCAAATCGATGTCCAATGATGTTATGAGAGCAGATGTCTCCGAATTTTTACCGTTGGTATTTCCGTAACCAGTTTTCGGACGATCGACAATAAGTCCCAGTTTTGAGCTGAATCCCTTTTGAATGATCTTCTTGCGCGTTTCTACCATCTCTTTTTCTTCGGCACTGCGTGCTTACCATTTTTTGATACCAAGTTTGTATGACAAATGCAAGCAGCATTCAAAAAACCTTATCCAAGCATGTAATATTGAAAGTCCAAAGTTCAGATTCTCTTCGTTAACTTCTTTTTGCAATACAGCATTGATGTTATTGAAATCTTTACTAGTACTTCCACATAAATAGCATCGTTGCGTAGACTTTATGGATGCGACTGCGTTGCATACTTTGCCATCGATCATTGTGAACGCCATATTGTACGAAACCGAGATTTCTTTCCCATGCATTACTTTCTCAAAGGGAACAAGTGACTCTCACTGACCGTAGATTCTGCACTTTCGTGCAAAAATTGAAGTCTCAGCGGTCTACAAAATCGAGGAGACGATGGTCTAGGATTCTTCCAAATCACGTCTACTGCCTCTGATTGTGGATCCACAGAAATGAGTTGTAAGGGTACTACCAATGTAAAAAATACATTCGCATCTGATACGCGTTCATCCTCAAATGTTTGTTTATATTCACTTTGTCCTGCACTTTCGTCATAACCCCATTTGAAAATGAATTTCATGTGGCTACCATTGGCTTGATCCAAACTGCGAATGATGTCTTCTTGGCATAATAAAATATGGTCGGTTGTATGATCCAATAAAGGTTGTAGCTGAACTTCAGCCATGCTTTATGTGATGATGATAGCAATATTAGGTGGATAGCAACGCTTTTTCGCTTCTGCCAATTTCTTGTAGGAAGGATACAGCTTGCAGTTATTCTCCTTACTTGTTGTTCTCAATCCCTGATTGATGCGAAATATATATTTAATGCGAAAGTGCGGCTTCGGCGTTTTCTCGCTTGTCGCTGTTGATTGAAAAGCCTGTCGATACTTCGAAGCTCTCGATGGACTTGTCATTGTTATTTCATAAACAACCTTCGAAGCATCCAATTTACCTGCAGAGCGCAGGCTCATTTGAGTAGCATAAGCTAACTCTTCTGGCGTTAAAATTTTGCGAACTGATTGGGTTCTTCTGCGTTTCGACCTCTTGCTCAATGATTCAAAATCCCCAGAAGGACGTCCACTGCAGGTACTAGTCGATGGCAGATCACAGTCAGCTTGATAATTGCCACTAACAATAGGTGCCGGAAATGAAACGGGTGAATTCACCCATTCATTATTTCGTTTTAAAAAGCAACGGTCGACCAATTTTCCCGGAAAGTTGTTCCTCCAGGTAATAGATTGTTTCAGCTAGGCCATCATTCCACCAGTGTCTGACGATGGTGAATATTTCTTGCCGAGTGAATTTCATATATTCTTCATCCGAACCTGTGTGAAAAATATTACTTTAGCATTAGCAACAAATTAATTACAGAAAAATAGTTAAATATCGTAAGCGTGCTGCATGGGAAAAATAGTTCAATATTATTTGGGACGTACAAGCTCGAAGAAAAATTCATTATACAAGAGAATAGGCAGATTTAGGCAGCTGATTTTTGTCAATTCGATCAGATTGATTAATCTATAGTCTGGGAGTTGTAATTCCGCGTCATATTGCGTTATATGCTACTTTTGCTCTACTTGAAAATACAAGTTCAGAAAATCATGCTATTTTTGTACAAGCATCGAAAAAGGTGTAATATAAATAGGAAAACCATGAGATTTAAACCTTATTAGTGTATGGATATTTTCTACATACCTGTGGCAATCGTTTCCAACTTGTAGAATTGTAATTCTTCACTTCATTACTTAATTATCAACTCAGTAACAGAGGGTAAATTTGATTAGTTTCGACAGTGACACGTGCGCTCTTGACGAATGTCAACTTGGAATTGAAATAATTTGACAGGCATCGAAGGTAGGGACCTATTCTTTCGGGGTGAGATACCCTGATTCGAAAATTCATTTTTCGGGTTTTTGGGACACGTTTTGGAGATTTGGTCCCACTGTGCGACGTTGCCAGATCGTTGGTTATTTCTGGTTATTTTGTGACAATACGATCGCCCCCCTCCACTTGCTCTCAGTGGCGTCCTAGAAAACAAGTCAGAGCATGCGAGTTGACTTAATGCCACCAACTTGTTTTCGAGAACGCCACTGAGAACAAGTGGAAGGGGGAATCGTATCGTTTTGTTACAAAAGTTCCGTGCCCTAATTATTACAATATAAACTTTGAAGAAACCCTTATGAAATGGTCAAAAGAGGCCGACAGCGAAAATAGTGATATAGATAATTGTGAAACTAACAAATATGAAGAAAGTGACCATGATACATATTCTGAATTGTCTACTACGGAAAATGACAATGATGGTCAGGATGTTGTAAATATGGAGCAAGACACCAGTGAGTCTACGACAGACAGTGAATCACAAAACTAGAAAATATAATTATGGTAAAAATCGGTAGTAATGGTGTAGTGAAACACCCCACAATCAGTCTCGAACACGACATGATAATATTACTGTGCAGCTGCCAGGTGTATGGCCCTCAGCACTAGATTACTAATACCTCACTAATTGAACTAAAATTAGAAACTTTCGTGTTTTGCTGTGCGTCTTTTAAGAAAAGCTTTGACGTTTCGGATGCCATGTTGCAAGATTCTTCAGAAACTGGTTCGATGTGACGAAATCGAAAATCGGGAACAATATACAGAGTGAGTTTTTTTCCATGTTTAGTATGGAGATCTCGAAAAAACCGTTTTTTTGTTGTATCGTTCGATACCTATGGCTCCGCTATTATTGATTTTAGGAAAAATGTGTAAAGGAAAAATTTGTAGGGTATTACATGTTTAATAAAGCAGTCTAACTGATTTTTTTATTTAAGAATAATTTTTGAGTTATGACATAAGCTTGTAAGTTTTCTAATGGAAACCATAGTTGGCCATGACTTTATAAAAAAGGCCTTTTCTCAACGATTCTAATGATATACCACTTGATATGAATATTTTTATTAATAAATAAATTATAGCTATTTATTTTATTTATTTATTTATTTTAATTTGCAAACTGTTCAGGTAGTACGCTATGGAAACAATTGATACGTTTGGTTATGACAGCTTAAGGCGTCGATTAGTTGCTAATTAACGTTGATTGAGGTTGTGTAAATTATAATTAATATGAATTTTTCTAATCAAGAACACCGCGATATTATTGAGTGTTACATTGTATGCCGTAAAAATACAGTACAAGCTGCAGAACAATATTTTGATCGTCGCCAGCCACCTCTACCTACGTTTAAAAGGTTGTATGATAATTTGGGCGAGTATGGTTCTTTCTGTAAACCAACTAAAGATGCAAGAGGCGGTAATAAAGAGACAGAAATAAACATATTTGCACGAAGCTATCAAGATCCATCGGTTTCAACAAGACAAGTTGCAGCTGAAGCAGGCACGTCGCAACTTTTGTATCATCCATACAAAATGGCAGTTTCACAAACCCTACACCCACATGACTACAATAAGCGTGTAGAATATTGTATAGTAGACGCCACGAGAGCTGGCAGTAAATCATCATTTTCCGCTCTTACAAATGCCATACGTAGTTCACAAACCGCTAGAGAGTAATGTGTGTTGGAAAGAGATAGCATTAGTTTAATATGTCTGCTGTACAATTCAAATGGCCACGTCGAAAAAGTACGTCTGTTCTTGTAAGGGATGTCACTCTATAATTATAACCTCAAATCGAAACGTCTTGTGAGCGTTGTCATGAATCTGTTAGTGTTTTCACAAGCCGAAAATGTTTTCTTTGAAAGGAAAATCATTAAATAATATCTTTGACAATGTTTGACATATAACCTCCATTACTAACATAACCTATATGTATGTGGTGAAATAATCTAAGTCATACGTCCATATCTTGATTCATACCATTTTTAAGCGACCTGTCACTGCCAGCTCTCGTGGTTTCTACTATACGTGGTTTATTAACATATGTGAAGCTGATGCACAGTTTAGATTTAAAGTTTTGTGGACGGATGAAACACGATTTACAAACTGCGGCATGTTTAATAGACATAATCTACATTTATGGATGCAGGAAAATCCGCATCATGTTCAACAGAGGAGACCTCAAGTTTGGAATTAATGTTTGGTGCGGTGTCATTTCTTCAACAATTCTTGGTCCGTACATTTTTTATGATACATTAAACGGGGATCGTTATCTTCACTTTGTACAAAACGCGTTCGATAATATGGTGGATGAATTGCCCCTGGAGACACGAAATGGTTTCAATACGATGGGGCACCACCACATAATAAGTTAACGGTACGAAATCATTTAAATCGAACATTCCCGAACTCATGGATAGGAAGAAACGCGCCGGTTGCATGGCCACCTCGATCCCCCGATCTATCAGTCTTAGATTTTTATTTATGGGGTATGCTAAAAGATAAAGTGTATCAAAGGTCGTACGACACAGTAGATGACCTTCTAATAGCTGTATTAGAAGCTTTTGCTAATATTGATAGACGTTCCGTTAGAAAAGCTACAAATTTCGTTTTAAAAAGATGTCACTTGTGCATTAATCATAATGGTGGACACTTTGAACATATAAAATAAACAATATAAATATTTCTACGCGTGGAGAAAAAAGTAGGATCTAACATACCTATTCCTACGAGTGCCGAGAAGAATATTACCTAACACTATTTATGTCCTAATTTATTTTATTATTTTCTAATTTATTATTCCTTAATTCTGTTCATTCGTTCCTCATAAATTATTTGTATTTAAAATTATAACTCCTTTTCATACGAAAATAATTATATTGATAACTTAGAAATTAAAATACAAAAGAGTAATAACTAACTTGAATTTTATTATTAAACGCGGAGTGCATTTATCAATTGTCTCCATTATGTACTGGTTGGGTTATGCAAATTACACTTTTTACACTTTTTTCCTAAAATCAATAATAACGGAGCCATAGGTATCGAACGATATAACAGAAAAACGTTTTTTCGAGATATCTAGTTAACCATGCATTTTATCCAAAAAACAAAAAGCTCATTAAATTGAGTTCAAGAAACTGCAATTCTTTCCTTATTTAATCATCTCTCTATCTCCGCTAGTTTTCAAGATCTCTATACTAAACATGGAAAAAAACTCACCCTGTATAAGTGGGAAAGCTAATTAATAATCAATTAAAGCTAATTATTAACTAATTGTGTCGCGTCCGGTGTGAGGCAGGAAAAGGTCTTCGTGTTCACCACCATCTTCCATGTTCTTATAAGCTCCCAGCCATCCTCTCTGTTGACGTTATTTCTATGTCGGTGGATCTCTATGGCTTCTCTTGTCAGTCTCTGGTGATATCTGTTGTCCTTAGCCAGCACCTTTGTTTGGTCGAAGTCTATTCGGTGTCCCTCTGCATGGCATTGTAAATAAACAGAAGGACCACACTCGCATGGGCAGCCTACGGGAAACTTAGAGACATCTTCAAAAGCGATATTCCTATATATTTGAAAATATTTTTGTTTTCGGTTATGACATACGCCTTCGAAACTTTAACATCAACAGTAGCCACTGCCAGCAGGCTCACAGTAACGCAAAGATAGATGGAGAGGTCAATGCTGGGTGTAACCCCGAGGGATCACATACGAAATTAAGACCTATGAAGAAAAACTGGCATAAATGATGTAGATAACATTGTGGCAAAGCTCAAGTGGAACTGGATCATGTCGTGCGATTAAAGAATGAGCAGTGGACAAAACGGTTGCTTGAGTGGACAGACGAAGTAGAGAAAATCGCCTACACA